TTGAACTGCATTCTGTTGTTTTGTGCCCACTTGTCCAACCTGTCCAGATCTGCTTGTAGTTGTTCCCTGCCCTCCGGCGTGTCCACTTCTCCCCATAGCTTTGTGTCATCTGCAGACTTAGACAGAGTACATTTCACTCCCTCGTCCAAGTCGCTGATGAAGACATTAAAGAGTATCGGTCCAAGGACCGAGCCCTGCGGGACCCCACTGCCCACACCCTTCCAGGTCGAAACTGACCCATCCACCATGACTCTCTGGGTGCGACCCTCCAGCCAATTCGCCACCCACCGGACTGTGTAGTCATCCACGTCACAGCCTCTTAACTTGTTCACCAGTATGGGGTGGGATACTGTATTGAAGGCCTTCCTGAAGTCTAAGTATACAACATCCACCCCTCCTCCTGTGTCCAGGCGTTTTGTAACCTGGTCATAAAAAGAGACTAGATTAGTCAGGCATGATCTGCCTGCTACGAATCCGTGCTGGTTTCCCCTCACCATAACTTGTCCTGCTGGGCTCTCGCAAATGTGAGCCTTGATAATTTTTTCAAAGATTTTGCCAAGGATGGAGGTGAGACTGTGCCAAGGATGGAGGTCAGACTGAGTCATAGTCATAGGTTACAACATCAGGGGGCACAAGATGGAGGCTTGACATACAAGATAGAAACTTGACATTACTTGACATTATTTTACAGACCTAGGTCTAAATTATATAAATTTAATATGCAACAATAAAAATCAATGCAAAAAATGATAGGAATACAATATAATACAATATAAAACAGTAAAATCAATACAAACATAATAGAACACTATTTACAATATAAAAAGGGGCTTATTACAATAATAGTATACAAGAACTTAGCTTACCTAGTATTACTTATAATCACTTATAAGGGATAGAGAGGGCAGAAAGAAAGTCAGAAATGGTTAGGGGAAGGGGATGGAATGTATTTTTAAATTAAAAAAAAGAAAAACTGGGGGTTTTGCTACAATGGTTAAGTTCTAATTGGTCTTGGCTCTACTGTATTTGGGATAAGAGAGCTGCTCCCCCATAAGCAGCTACCCCTCCCGTAGCACACTAACACCTGCTAAATCCCTTTAATTGGAGAGGGGGTACCTCATCTGAGTACCACCCAAGTTACATTTACCGTCCATGCTATCCCTACCCTCCCAGGCCTGCCAGTCCCCCTCACTCCTAATCTGCCTCCCTAGCCCTGCCAAACCAAAAACCCAGTCCAACAAAAAGTAATTTTAATTAACTTGAGTCTTGGATTGCCTGACCCATAACAATTTGACCTTTGCCATGAAGTGCATGGGAGCACAGGGAATCCAAAAAAATTGTATTTTTCATTAATCTGAACCTGGAATTAAATCACCAATAAAAATTTCCAAGATTAGCACCTGGAGTCTTGTTGAAGTATTGCAATAGAGATTCAATGGCTTTCCATGGATTACTGAGTGAACGTGTGGCAAAACCCCCAGATTTTCTTTCTTTTTTTTTTTTAATACATTCCCTCCCTTCCCCAACTATTTCTGACTTTTTCTCTTCCTCTCTATTCCCTTTAGATAAGTATGAGTAAGCTAAGACATAGGATAAGCTTTAGCATTTTTGTAGCAAGTTTTTTTCCTTTTCTCTCTCTCCTTCTTTGATCCACTGTTTTATATTGTATACTTTTATGTTTATATTGATTTTTACTGTGTGATTACTGTTTTACTGATTTTTACTGTTTTTTAAATTGATACTATATGATTTAGGCCTACATGTGTAAGTTAGCACAAGTAATGTCAAGTTATGTCAAGTTTCCATTTTGAATGTCAAACCTCCATCTTGTGCCCTCTTCCCGGGTATTACCTATGACTCATGTGTAACCAGTCTCATGTAAATTGATTCCTGAATGAATGGGGATGAATGAGGATGCTTGAGATAGAATGATAGCAGGCCTCTACTGAATAATCAATTCAATGACTGGGCCATCAGCTCAACAACTGGACCATTGCCTTCCATTGATTCACCCAGGAACCATGGACCCAGCATTTGAAACACAAAGACCCTACAGAAATCAGCCAATCTACTATTGCAACACAGACACCTGGAACTGCACGTCCTTGCCTGGAGTCCACATGCTCAGTACACCAGGGCTGACCCTTGCCTGGGCATGCTCCTACCACTAGGGTCATAGAAGGTCTGCCCCTATAAAAATGGGTAGTAAAGACAGACCCAGTGGGATGCCCTCTCCATCTGAACTATCCACCCAGAAACCCTGCCAGGGACCACCTCTGGACAACACCTTGCTGGAGAAGACCCCAACTGGCCATCAAGGATTAACTCACAGCCCAGGATAGGTAGCTATCACCCATCTTCCTTTCCCAAGCAAAGGACCTGGACTCTGTCCTTACAAACCTTGACTTCAATCCCTTCACCAAGCTGTTTTCTCTCCTGCTACCATTGTGTGTGTGTGTGTGTGTGTGTGTGTGTAGGAACCAATAACTTCATGGGGCTGTGTAATGTGTTGCCTGTTTAATAAACCTGTTATTTTGAAACCCTGAGTTAAGTTTTTGTCTTATTGACCTCCAGACCCTCCTCCTTGATTTCCTGGCTATCTCCCAGCTTTCTTCCTCCCAGTTTCCAGCCCCAATCTCCTAGCTTTCTGCCTCTTTGTCTCCTGGCCATCTCCTCCTTGCTACCACTTATCTGCTTCCAATCTCCCAGCTTTCTGCCTCTCAGTTTCCAGCCCCCATTTCCCAGATATCTGCCTTTCTCTTTTCCTGACTGTCTTCTCCTTGCCATTGTGCTTTTCCCCTTGCTTCCACCCTGGCACCAGGTCACCCTGAGTAACCCTGGGGCACATTAACCCTAAGTAACCCCAAGCCCTGGTGACCCTGATGAACCCCAGGGCACTTGACCTTAAGTAACCCCAGCTTCTCTCCCAATGGGAGACTTATTGGGAGAGGATCTAAATTATGCCTTGGGTCCCCTTGGTTCAGTTGACTAAAGGAGACCATTATTTGTCCTTCAGACTGAGGGAAGCACCCCAACTTCTTGTAGTGGGTCAAGTACCCTCAAGGACTACTAGGCCTGTGTTTCCTGGAGGCCACAGGTCCAGGATCAGTCCAGACTCTGGGAGGTGGCAGCGTTACCCCCAGGCTAGCAGGTGTGCTCCAGGAAGGGGGTCGGCCAGATTTGAGGCACGCCTAGGGAGGCACTCAGAGCCTTGAAGGTGGTTGGGTGCAGTGGGGCGGGTGTCTCAACACAGGAGCTCCCCCTAGTGGTCTGCCACATGCTTCACCCTCTGCCTCTTTTTATTTGTAGCTCTAATTAACAGAACTTTGGTGCAGTTCATCAACCCCAGACAAATCATATCTTTTCAAAGCATTGTCTAGTTGCCGGTAAAGAGGGAAGTTTGTTATGGCATGTGGGAGAGGAGGGGGAGGGGGGGGGGGGGGGGGGGGGGAGGAGGCAGAGGCACTGCAATAGAAAGAACCAAACTTGCTCCAAAAGCAAGAGGCTGCCTTTTCCTTCACTTTTCCAAAAGCTGCCTATCAAACTGCACAGGTCTGAGATGCCTAGGACACTAAGATGTGCAGAAGTGACAGCAAATGTATACAGTTGTCTCCCACTTTTGATTTTCTGAAAGAATAAAACACCTGGCTCCATTTAAGAAATACATCTGTGAGGAATTGCAGATTTGCAGAGGAAAGCCTTCCCCTTACCTTTTTTTTAAGGTGAAAAAAAGACTTGGCTAGGTCTTTCTCATAAACTGGTCAATTCATGTGTGTTCTGCATAAGACACTGAGAAATATTTCACCTCTTTGGAGATGAGTGAATTTAATGTTGGAAGAAGCGCCAGATGAACAGTCTTGGAGTCTGAGGTCCAGGTTCAGACTGTTGCATAAGCAACAGACATGCTGCCTTGCTTATTGCCTCAGCTCTGAGAAGGAGTCAGCTCCAAGGCTGAGAAGGTCTTTCAGAAAAGGGATGGAGACTCTGCCTCCATTGAGACTGTTAAAAATGTTGGTTGATATTCTGGTTTGGAAGTGAGGTCAGGGGATGTATGGTTTCTTTATTCTCGTGATGGATATTCTCTCTGGCCCACTGCCTATGGGAGAGATGTGTTACCAGAACGTTATCTCGTTCAGCACTTCAGAAACAAATGTTTGCAGAATCAAACACCTCCGATTGTCTCTACTTTGTTTTCAACAGTTGGGAAGGGAAGGCCCATGAGCACAGGACAGAAAGCTTCTAAATTAATTCTTTATGTCCATCTTCAAGGTTGGGAATGGACAGACAGGAGAAATAACCTGGGGGTATTACAATCTAGTTACTCTGTTTCTTCAAAAACCTTTTTATCATCCATTATTATATAGAATCTTATTGCATAGATGCATGTTGTCTATAAGCTATGTCTAATTGGACTTAGGCACCTAAGTGGGATCCTATTCCACCCTGCTCAAGTTCCTAAAAAGATGTAACATAGAATCATAGAAAATTAGGGATGGAAGGGACCTCAGAAAGTCATCTAGTCCAGCCCCCCTGCTCAAAGCAGGACTAGCCCCAGCTAAATCATCCCAGCCAAAGCTCTGTCTAGCCAGGTCTTAAAAAACTCCAAGGATGAAGATTCCACAACCTCTGTGGGTAAGCTGTTCCAGTGTTTTACTACCTTCCCAGTGAAAAAATTCTTACCTAACATGTAAGGTTGTGTGTAGACGAAACAAAATTTCCCATTTACATCAATGCAATTGCATTTGTGTTTGCATGACCGGGAATTTCCCACTGCTTTAAAGTCCATTTAGCACTTTAAACTAACACTACTCAGAGATGCTTTTATTTGTGTTGCTTTCCTGTTACACTGCTCCAACTGTGGATTTTGTTCGTGCAAATAGCCAGACTCCAAAGACTCGTAATTAATCCCTTTTGCCACGAGGGGCTGCTGCATTCTAGCCTCTAGCCAGTAGGTGGCGCTGTGTGCTCTTTTTCACCCTTTTCCACTCCTCCCTCTGCAGTCAGGTTAGGATGTGTCTGCTTGGTTGACCAGACCGACCAAATATCCTTATTTTATTATTATTTTATTTAAAAGATTGAAAGAATGGGGGAGAGCAATAATATCATTTTCTACCCCTCTTAACTGTTGTCCCCCCTGCCACCTACTGTCTATATCTTCCCCCCCACCCATGTACCCTCCAGACCTCCAGCCCTGCCCCCAGTACCCTCCCCCTGCTGTGAGCCCTGCACCCCTCCTCCCCCTCATTTTCTATCAATGCAGTGGTCATGGCTCCTGCTGGCCGTGGCAGCATCAGCATCAGTGTAATTGTAAGTTTTCTGCAAGTAGTTTTAAACTTTGGAGGGAAGGGGGTGAGTGGTTACATGACTTCCTTCAATATCGCAACCTTCCACCCAGAGCCATGGTCCAAGGGCAGCAGGATGCTGCCTGCCAGACTCGACACCAGGGGTATGCAGTGTCCCAGGTGATATTTAGGTAATATGTCCCACCAACTTTGTGAACACATGCATGTGTTCGTGTGTGTGTGTGTAAGTGTGTGTGTGTGGGGGGGTGGCAAAAGTCTGGGGTTTTTTACTGTGCGCCAAGCTCCCCTCCTCTTCCTCTTCTTCCCTTTCCTCCCTCCCCACAGAAAACTTTCATGGGTAGAACTCACCGGGGACAAGCCAACAGGCCAGTGAAGAGTCACACACCAGTGGATACTGAAAAAAACGTTTTTATTCTTTTCACATTTTTATTTTTATATTGTATGTGTGCATGTGAATGTTTTTGTATATAGTTATATAGTTATTTTTGCTAAGAAGGACAAAAGTCTTGACCTTTTGTTTATTTTTGTTACATTTTGTATTCATTTTATTTTAATATTGTCAATTTTGTATACAGTTATTCATTTTCAGTTCAGTAAAGTTTTTGCTTCATATAATAGATGTGTCATATTTTCTTTGGGATGGTTGGGTTTGTTTTCAGAGACTTCACCCACCTCAGGGGTGGGGATGGTGTGCCTGGGAGGTTTTTAGACATGGCATTACTGGAAAGACTTGTAAAGAGTTGCAGGGTGGACTTCTTAAGGGTGCAGTCCAGCCAGATGTCTTGTAAGAAAAAAGACTAAATAACCCCACTCAGGGCCCTTAGCCTTTAACAAGTCTTTCAAGACAATTTAGTAAGCCTTTAAAATGCATATGATATGGTTGTTGAGGGGGTGGGGTTAACACCTGGAAACTCCTTTTTTCTTTGCAGGCAGGCAAATAGTTTCTTTTTTTCTTTTTACTGTTATGGGAGGTGTGATATAAAAATGATTTTTTTTCAAGGCTTTCTTTATAAAGCAATGTTTGCTTTACAAAATCCTGCATGCAGCACCTTTTGGAGCCACCCACTCCTTCCCCCCCCACCCCCCAAGAGAGCTCATCACTTTTCTCAGGATTGCTTTGTCCTCCCTTGCCATATCTCTCCTCTCAGCCTTCTCAAAGGACAGGGAGAAGTTGGGGGAGATGAGGAGCAGCACTCTCAAGGCAGCCCTGGGTAATCTGCCCTCTCCAGAATAAAGTGTATTCAGAAAGAACTTCTTTTCATCCAAATTCAAGAAAATTGTAATACCGCCTTCTTCTACGCTAGGTATTGCTATGTCCTCATTAAATCAGTCTCAGCTAAGCAGGAGCTGCTAATTAGCCAAGGCCATGTTTTAAAAAAGCACTATGCCCAGGGTTTTTTTCTTTCCCCACAGTTCCTCTTCCCCTCGCAGGCTCCAGCATTTGAGGCCTGTGGTTCCCCTAAATCCCATGCTCAATAACTAATATAGATGACTGTGTGACTTTAGCTCAGCACCCACAATAGTCCACAGAGGGTACTGGGGTTTGAAGGTGTCTACCAGCTGCTGCATTGGAAGAGTGGTCAGTTCAAGTGTGCAGGCAGATGTTTGCAGGGCAAAACAGGTTTGCACCTGCAGAGGAGGAGCAGAACCACGGCTGGAGTTTGGAGAGGGGGTATCTGGTCATGTCTGGACAGTTCCTCATGGGGGTGATGTGATGAGGTTGCTTTGTCCATGTAATAACTGCTCATGCTGCAGAGATAAAGCATCATTGCAATAGATAGCCTGCTTACTCCTAGGCCTTGACATATTCTCTTTATTCCTGCTCACCTATGTGGCCTTTTTGATATACTTGCATGTCCAGATGTGCTCTGTCTCTGAATGCATAGCCACACGTATGTGGCAGACTATGTATATATCCAGACTGTATGCATCATATGGCTACCCCCAGACATATTATTGAGGTCTCTGGAGGGGAGGCTAACCAATCAGAAATATGGGCCCTGTTTGTGCCCAGCCTGCGCAGCAACCACGCTTACTCCTCCCCTCCCCTCCCCCACCCAGCTGCAAAATGCTTCCCCCCACCTCCCAGGTCCATGAAATCAAGCAGGAGCAAGTACAAATCAGAATTTTTTGTTCCTCACCTTTATTTTTTTCACAATACATTGAATTGCAATCAATTCCATTGAGAAATCACAATAAAGCTAAAACAGTATAGACTTTTTTTTACTCAACTATGCTGTTGGTAGTCAACTGGTGAATATTTTTTCTACACTACAGCCATTGCCAGCAAAAGCAAGACAATATAAAACACCAATTCACAATATACTCCCATGTTCCTTCAGTAATCCCTTGATATCATATGGATTGATGGAGGGCTGCATGGTGGAAGGGTGAGAGGGCGAGAGGGAGGGATGGAGGGAGGCAGGGTTGAGGCCCCCTCAGGTCCAGATGGATGATGACCTGACTCAGCTGGTTGGCTGAGTCAGGCCATGCTACTCCCTCTCGCTTGCAATGTACCTTTGGAATCTGCTGGGCACAAAGCTTTGGGAGGGATGGAGGTGGCCCCCAGGTGGGTGGCTGGTGGAGAGGGAGGGAGGAAGAGAGGCATGCTGGACCCCCTTCCTGGTTACTGAGCATGTCCTGCACAGCAGAAACATGGGGGGGAAAGCCATGGTCACAAAGGGGGTCCACTCAGGTGGGGGCCTCCAGGCACAGTTGAAGCCCCCTCGTCCAGATGGATGGCCTGACTCAGTGCTACTCCCTCTCCATTGCATTCTACCTTTGGAGTCGTTGCTGGGCACAAAGTTTTGGGAGGGGTGGAGGGGACCCCCAAGTGAGTGAGGGAGAGGGGTGGAGGGAAGGAGGGAGGTAGGAGCCCCCTCCTTCCTAACAGGAGGGGACAGTAAGGAAGGCTAAGGTGGAGACAGAACTGGGACTAGCGACCCAGATCAAAGATAACAAGAAGTCCTTTTTTTAAATACATAGGGGGTAAAAAGAAGCTACTGGGCAATGTGGGGCCTCTGCAGGACACGCTAGGAAATCTAGTGGTCACACCAGATGACAAAGCTAGCCTCTTTAGCAATTTCTTTGCCTCCATTTTTCTGAGCAGGGACCGCGTCATCCCCCCACTGGGATCCCTGATGGACCCAGGGGAGGCTCCGCCAAACCCAGGGTCAGTGAGGACCTAGTCAGGGAACTTCTGGTGGGACTAGACATGTTCACATCAGCAGGTCCTGATGGTCTCCACCCCAGAGTGCTGAGGGAATTAGCAGAGGTCATTGCAGGACTCCTGGCATAGCTTTATGAGCACTAATGGTGCTCTGGTGAAGTGCCAGAGGACTGGAAAAGGGCCAATGTGGTCCCCATTTTCAAAAAAGGGAGGAAGGAGGACCCAGGAAACTATAGGCCCGTTAGTCTTACCTCAGTCCTGGGGAAGCTCTTGGAGAAAATTATCCAGGAGCACATCTGCAACGGACCAGCAGGGTAGATTATGCTTAGGGGCAACCAACATGGGTTCATTCAAGGCAGGTCCTGTCAGACCAACCTGGTGGCCTTCTACGATCAGATCACAAAATCCTTAGATGCAGGTGTCATGGTGGACGTAGTCTTTCTGGACTTTAGGAAGACCTTTGGCACTCTCTCACCCCATTCTCATTAAAAAAGTTAGGCAACTGTGATGACGATGCCTACACAGTCAGATGGGTCACAAATTGGTTGGAGGGATGGGTCATTTTTGACCTGGAGGGATGTGGGCAGTGGGGTTCCCCAGGGCTCAGTCCTCGGGCCCACACTGTTCAACATCTTCATCAGCGACTTGGATGAGGGGGTGAAAAGCACCTTGTTCAAATTTGCGGATGACACTAAGATGTGGGGAGAAGTGGGCACGCTAGAGGAGAGGGACAGGCTGCAACTAGATCTGGACAGGTTACAGGAGTGGGCAGATGAGAACAGGATGGGCTTCAATACTGACACGTGCAAGGTACTGCACCTAGGGAGGAAGAACCAGCAGCATACCTACAGGCTGGGGAACTCCTTTCTTGTCAGCACAGAGGCAGAAAAGGATCTTGGAGTCATTATTGATTCCAAGATGAACATGGGCCACCAATGTGAGGACGCGGTCAGGAAGGCTAACCACACGTTGTCATGCATCCACAGATGCATCTCAAGCAGGCCCAAGGAGGTGATCCTCCCCCTCTATGCGACACTGGTCAGGCCACAGTTGGAGTACTGTGTCCAGTTCTGGGTGCTGCACTTCAGAAGGGCAGCAGGATGCTGCCTGCCAGACTCGACACCAGGGGTATGCAGTGTCCCAGGTGATATTTAGGTAATATGTCCCACCAACTTTGTGAACACATGCATGTGTTCGTGTGTGTGTGTGTAAGTGTGTGTGTGTGGGGGGGTGGCAAAAGTCTGGGGTTTTTTACTGTGCGCCAAGCTCCCCTCCTCTTCCTCTTCTTCCCTTTCCTCCCTCCCCACCGAAAACTTTCATGGGTAGAACTCACCGGGGACAAGCCAACAGGCCAGTGAAGAGTCACACACCAGTGGATACTGAAAAAAACGGTTTTATTCTTTTCACATTTTTATTTTTATATTGTATGTGTGCATGTGAATGTTTTTGTATATAGTTATATAGTTATTTTTGCTAAGAAGGACAAAAGTCTTGACCTTTTGTTTATTTTTGTTACATTTTGTATTCATTTTATTTTAATATTGTCAATTTTGTATACAGTTATTCATTTTCAGTTCAGTAAAGTTTTTGCTTCATATAATAGATGTGTCATATTTTCTTTGGGATGGTTGGGTTTGTTTTCAGAGACTTCACCCACCTCAGGGGTGGGGATGGTGTGCCTGGGAGGTTTTTAGACATGGCATTACTGGCAAGACTTGTAAAGAGTTGCAGGGTGGACTTCTTAAGGGTGCAGTCCAGCCAGATGTCTTGTAAGAAAAAAGACTAAATAACCCCACTCAGGGCCCTTAGCCTTTAACAAGTCTTTCAAGACAATTTAGTAAGCCTTTAAAATGCATATGATATGGTTGTTGAGGGGGTGGGGTTAACACCTGGAAACTCCTTTTTTCTTTGCAGGCAGGCAAATAGTTTCTTTTTTTCTTTTTACTGTTATGGGAGGTGTGATATAAAAATGATTTTTTTTCAAGGCTTTCTTTATAAAGCAATGTTTGCTTTACAAAATCCTGCATGCAGCACCTTTTGGAGCCACCCACTCCTTCCCCCCCCACCCCCCAAGAGAGCTCATCACTTTTCTCAGGATTGCTTTGTCCTCCCTTGCCATATCTCTCCTCTCAGCCTTCTCAAAGGACAGGGAGAAGTTGGGGGAGATGAGGAGCAGCACTCTCAAGGCAGCCCTGGGTAATCTGCCCTCTCCAGAATAAAGTGTATTCAGAAAGAACTTCTTTTCATCCAAATTCAAGAAAATTGTAATACCGCCTTCTTCTACGCTAGGTATTGCTATGTCCTCATTAAATCAGTCTCAGCTAAGCAGGAGCTGCTAATTAGCCAAGGCCATGTTTTAAAAAAGCACTATGCCCAGGGTTTTTTT